TCCCGGCACCGGGGAAACGCTGGGGACTGGAGCGCAGACTGCCCCTGGAGAACCCCGTCAGGCCACCGCCACACTCGTGAACGCTCCGAAACCCTACTCCGCAGAAAGCTGCGGGGAAGTGACAGGGCCTCGCGGGCGCGGAAACCCCCGACAGGCTCCCGTGGCCTCGGGTCTCTCCCGCGCACCCCGGGGCCTGACTTCCGGTCCCCCGGGGGCCCTGGGCCACACCCACACACAGCACTTCCGCCCCGTGGGCGCCGGCACTTCCGCCAGTCGCGTGGCTGAGGGCTACCTGGGGAGCTGGTGTCTGTATCTCCCCGGAGGCTGATGGGCCCTTTACCTGTTCCCTTTATTTCTCTTTATTTTGAATTTCCTTTCCTGTCTTCGCTTTCTTAAACATGGGAGGGAGGCAGGGGGGAAGGGCGTGGGGGGCTAGGAGTTGAGAGTTAAGGCGCACCGAAGACAAATCTTTTTTTTTTCTTCTTTCTATTTTTCAGATCACCTGCCTCTCTTTGAATTCCTTGCACAAATTCACGTCAACAGCTTAGTCCTTTCTTAAGGCTCGGCCAGTGTCTGAACTTAGTAGGCGTGCAATAAATGTTAAAAGAACGACTGAGTAGATGTTTGCCTCTGTGGGCACATGGTGCATAGAGCTAGTGGGTAACCTTAAAAATTAGCTGACTTCTGACTTCTGGTGTTTTGTTGAAGTTAGTTGAGAGGTTAATAACCAAATGGGTTTTACAGGCATTTTGATGTGTGTTTTTTTTTTGGGGGGGGGGATGCCCCAAAACTGGGAGGAAGTCAGAATTGCTGGAAATGTTTTCTTGAGTGTTTTTCTTAGGTATTGGGTAAAATGTTGTGATTTTTAGAATTTGGGAGTTTATCGGTTCCTCTGTGGCTTTTCTTTTCCATTTGCTTTCTTTTTAAAGTTTTACTTTCTGAGGCAAGAGGTCAAGGCCTTGTGAAGTTAACCTAGGCAGAAACTAAGATATCTCTTTTGCTTTCAAGCTATATTATAGTTTAACCCTTGCCAATCCTAATTCCCTTGTATCACCTGCATCATTCGACTGTTCTTATTCGTTGCAATAGCATTTTTTTAAAGTGCCATAAGAACTTTTTTTAACAAGGAGAGAAATTTTATAGGTGTGAAGTTGTGAGACTAGATTCAGTCAACATCTATAAATGCATATTCTACTGAGCACTAGTTGTATAACTCATAGCCTAGTCCCTAGAGCATTTACTATCCCACTTACGTGGATTGTAGCAGTGAAAATATACAATCAATAAGGTAACAATCATGAAAATAATTTGAAAGGCTATAATTGCAAATCAAAGTTAAACTGTATTTATTAGCATCATTATGAAGAGACATTAGAGGGATATAAATAAGATTCGTTCTTATCCTCTGGGAACTTACAATCTACTTGGGCATAAATAATGTAAATGTAAATTGATAGAAACAGCTACTAAGTAATATTCAGTGTCTGGCATATGGAAAACATTCAGCAAATAATTGTCTCACATATTAATTTGCAGCCATGCCATTCTTTTAACAGAAATATGATACTGATAAGAAATAAAGGGAGGATTAATTAGGAAAACTTTCATGGAGGAAATTAATTTGTCCTTAATGTGCCCCATAAGAAGACTACAATATGCAAGCTGTTTGTATTTGGGGGCTGGTTAAAGGTGGCATACATAGAGAATGAGAAAGATGTTTGATGAGATGGAGTTTGGTGGTAATTTGTAGTAAACCTTAAAGACCAGAGGGGATTGTATTTGATAGCAGAGACCGATCTTCTGTGCAGAGTTTGGCATGATTAAAATTGAGATTTATGTTTTAAAAAATTCTAGCCAGCAACTGAATATAATGAAAACTGAGGGAGAAAGAGTAGGAAAAAAAGATTTTGGTGCAGTTCTGGAATGGGACATTACTAGAGAGTGGCTATAGACAGAGCCATCATTAGGACTTTTCTCCCCAATTATCATACAATGGAAATTACATTGAGATGACAAAGTCAGTAATGGGACTTGAATAGAACAAAGCCACAGGACCAGTGAAATCAGTACTACCTCAATTCTTCATTCTGGTGGTGTTAGGGAATATTGTGTTGACTGATGGTGAGTAGAGGTTAGTCATTTACCCATTATTTATATTGACCCATTATTCAGTAGTTCTGAACTGGGTATGATTTTGACACCTCTCCCCGGGCCCCCCGCGCCCCCCAAGGGACACAATTGGCCATGTTTGGTGACATGTTTAATTGTTAACAACTTTGGGGTCACTACTGGCACCTAGTAAGTAGAAGCCAGGGATAGATATTGCTAAACATCTTACAATGCACAGGAGAGCCCTGCCACCTCTCTCCTCCCTCCCCTCAACAATAAATCTTCTGGCCCCAAAAATGTCAGTAGTGCCCAGGTGGAGAAACCTTCAGTTATGGATATGAAGCATGAGCTCTAACTCTGGAGAGCTAGACAATGAGACCCAGAACCTAACTTCCATATAGTAACAATTTCAACTGAAGAAATATTTTGTTTGTTTAGTGAGTCAAATGTAACTCTGAAAAATGCTGAGCCTTTAGAAACAGGACAATCAGAAGGATACCTGCTTGGATTTTCTACTTTTAATAAAATGGAGTTAGAAATTTTCCTTAAGGATTTGTCATCTAAATATTATTTATTGTTAGTAAAATGTGCCTTTGGAGTTGCTTAGCAACTTATGGAAAGCTTGTTTTTTAGAAGTGCATTTGTTTGTTTAAAGCTAGGGTAGGTTGCATATTATTAGCTACATTACATAAATCAACAAAGAAATGTACACTGAAAATGGAATAAGATGTTACAACACATTTTCTGCTCTCTGTGTCTGGCAATTAAAACACTCTAATTGGTAGAATTGCATCAAGTATTCGACAAACATTATGTATGAAGTTTCAACATAATATTGAGTATGTAAAAGAACCAAAGGAGAAAAATGAAGCAGGTTTGTCATAAAGTATGTGTTTATCTTAACCTTTCTTCTTCAAAAAAATCTTATCTACTAAGTACTTTTATCAGACACTAATTATCCTCTTTCTGAAAAGAATTTCTCCAACACCCTTCAGTGCTTGCACCCTTTAATCATATCTCATTACATCTACCTAATCCATATCTTTTTCACATTGCCAGGGCTCATTAACAGTTTTAAAAGCCAGTCTTGGACATTATTATTCTTTGTAACTGAGATGAAAATAATGCCAATAATATTTTATTTCTAAAATGTAATGGATCATTTAAAATTTGTTCTGAAGCCACTTCTTCTTTAAATATTAATGAGAAATTAACTTTTAAACATGCATTAAGCTAGCAGGAATGCTGAGATGTGTCTGAAAACCCTGAAGCACCTTTTCAGAGGAGAAGTTATTTTTATAAGCTGTTTTAACAGTGGATCATGAGTCACTTTGAAGGGAACTGATCCTTGATTAACAGTTGGCTGATATTGTGCTTCTACAGATGTGTGGAAGCAATACAGGAGCTACCTATGAACCAGGACAGATCTAAGCATTTTTTTTCTGATGGTAAAGGGTAAGCTCTTGAATGGGACTTTATCTTTGTGTATTACCCTGTTTAATTGTAGATAAGACAAACCAAAATTCCCCACTCAAATAATGAACTATAGGCCCCATGTTTCCCATACACTTAGAGAAAAGATTATAAATATGGCTAGTACATTATTCCTGTTTATTTCTCATTTTTAGAAAAAGAAACCCAGATCCAATTTGCAGTTACCTGACTAAAGTAGAGCCTCATGATAATGACATTTTAGGACTTGAAAGTCAAATTCTATCTCTGAAAATATAACTACATAAGACTAACATGTTATTTTCAATAAATGGAAGCTCCCTCCAACATTATAACTGAAATAGACTTTTTTTTAAATGCTCATTAGAGGATATGTTTTTATTGATTCTAGAGAGAGGAAGGGAGAAAGAAAGAAACATCATTCACACCCCAACCTGGGATTGAACTCACAACCCAGGTTTGCTCCCTGACTGGGAATCAAACCCACAACCTTTTGGTGTACAGGATGATGTGCCAACCAACTGAGCCACTTGGCCAAGGCAAGATTCTTTCTTGAAAGTAATCTTTAAGAGACTTAGGTAAAGTTTAAAGGCCCTTACTTATTTACTATGCACATACTATTAAGCTATATTTTAATAAACCACAAGTAATTGTCAAAAAACCCCAGCTTTTAGACAAGTACCTCCAGCTATTTATTCAACAGTAGTGGAAATGTAATAAAAGCTTTCATTCAACTTCAATTTTCCCCCCATTCATTCATCCTGCCAAAAAAGCAATTCTCTCTTATTTGTTTTACTAAGTATTTATTTATTTTTTTCTTTGGAATATATATATCTTAGAATTTTATGTTTGGTCTGATTTCTCTCCATCAATAAGGTTCAGCTTGTTATTGACTATAGGAGATTGTTATTAAGCAGAATCAAATGAAACCATATGAGTTGGTGAGTTTGGTGTTCTGTGTCTTTTACCGATGTTAAGAATTGAATAGAGTAAGTTAATTAGTTTTTTTAGGATCTGTAATTTTTCTTTCCAAAAATCACTCTGTTGACATTTTTTCTTTTAAATTCTCTTAATTTATTTACTCATTTTTGCGGAGGTTAACTTTGTATATACTCGATTATACATGAGTATTCACATCTGTTCTTTTTTGCTTTACTGAAATAGCTTAAGTAGTCAAGTTCTACTAAATTTCTACAACACCAAAGTCAATGCTTACTTTCATGAATTTTTCCTAATTTTATTATCATTTAAATTATTTCTACTAATAAAAATAAAATTTGACAACTTAGCAATATAACACCACAACAATTTAGCGAGTTACAAATACAGTGCTAATATAATTTAAAACTTTTTGTCTTTATAACAATTCTTATCTTTTTCGTATTAAAATGCTTTGCTTTTTCTGTACTGATCATGTATTTTCTTTACATTATTTTCAGAAGTTTTTCACTGGTCAGTACAATGAAGGTTGATGGCATGATCATCCAACTTGCCTCAAAGGATTCATTGGTGTGCTGTTGTCAAGCAGAAGTTTCCAAATATGAGCTCTCTAACTCAGAGGAAGTTATTGGATCCAGGCAGAAAGGCGCCTAGGAACTCCCTAAGTGTGCATAATTTGTCTTCTGAGAAAGTTGCTTCAGCATTTTTTGTTTGTTTTTGGAATACTTCTCTCTACAGTATCCTCCAGACTCTAAACTACTAGACAGTTCCCTAAGTTCCATCAGATCTGTCCTATTTCAGGGGGGTAAGAGATCAATCGAAGGACTTATATGCATGCATATAAGCATAACCAATGGACACAAGACACTGGGTGGGGGGGGGTAAGGGCATGTGCTGGGGTGTAGGGAAGGCTGGGGAAAGGTCAATGGGGGGAAAAAAAGGAGACATATGTACTACTATTTGTACTACTTTAAACAAGAAAATAAATAAATAAATAAATAAATAAATAAATAAATAAATAAATAAATAAATAAATAAAGTAACAACAATCATTTGTTTCTGTTTGACTGAACCATTCTTGTCTTGAAGCACCCTGATGGGTTAATTAGCCTTAATATTGCATTTACTATCTCCCACACACTTGTTGGTGGGAAAGTGCTCCTCTGGGAATTTGCCTGGTTGGGAAAAGGAACACTAGGTCTGTGGCATTTGATGTTGCTCCTGAAGTGCATGGCACTCCGGCAGCATAAAACTTGAACAAGCTTAGTTTTTTGGGATACAACTGGCCCACCACCTTTTCCCCTGACATTGTATGCAGGCTTTCATTTATTCTGGAAGGGCCACACCTCCTTCCAGAGCAACCGCTCTAGCTTCGTATGGTGTTTGGTACCAATAGAAAGAGAAACGTGGTGCTTCCTGTAGGGGCAGTTTTGAGAGCTTTACAAGCAAGATGTGTGTTAAGATGATTAATTGCATCCTGTGAATATACTGCTTCTACCCTAAGTGAAAGAAAACAGCTGCTATTATTTATCCTCACTCATTTCTCATAAATAGCCAGTATTTTAGTAAGTATTATCCTGGAATTAATTTTTCCAATTCTTGTCATTATTTTTGCTCTTAGAAATTATAATGAGGGAGGTATTGGCAATAAATTTGAAATAAAGGACTCAAATGAGATTGTTAAACTTCAAAATCAGCACAAAATAAATCAGCACAGGGATGTGGGAAGTTATCTCAAAGAACATATAAATTCCTGTGTAGCAGGGTTTTGACATAATCCATTGAAGGTATTGACATATCCACAGAAAAAAACTTATCCATGAAAGCAGATAAAGGAAAGTCAGAAGCAATGTAGGCTAAGTCTATCTAAATATGGTTCAGAGATGAGGGGGTGGACTTAATTCCATTGGACTTTAATCCCAATGACAAGGCCATTCCTTCTGTGGGTGAATATTAGGCTATTTAAAACTGATGCTATTAAACATTCTATCCATAAAAATATTTTTATTTGGAATTGATGTTTTTAAAGCAATATTCTGATTATTATTTGGCTTCCCAAGTATCCCTGTTCCTAGAATATATACTAATCAAATGAATTTCAAATATATAATTTATAATGGTAGTTATCTTTAGGTGAATAATTATTATATTCTAGGCCTTCAATGAAGTTCTTTTTTTTTTTTCATTTAAGTTATTCATCACAACTGATTACTGGTTCAAAACATTAGTGATTACCTTGCATCTATCATTGATAGATCAATTTTTGGCACGTTGATAAAGCCAGAGTGTAAGGTTTCCACTATGAGGGACAGATCAGGATTATAATAAATTTGCTAAGGTCAACCCTTCCTGTGACCTACAGAATGAACACAGAACTGTATAATTCTAGTACAGAGTAGTTGAAGTAAATTACCATTGTTCAAACAAGAACTTAGGTTCTGGATTCAGCACTTACTAGCTGTGAGATCATCTTAACTTTTGTAGACATCAGTTTCCTCTGTAAGGTGCATATATTGTCAAAAATCCCTCTTATGATTATTTTGAAATCAAAAGAAATAATTCAAAAAAAGTGCTTAATAGCTCTATGCCCAGAGTATGGTAAGAAGTGAATGGTAGCTGATGTATTGTGCATTTATCACTAAGATTAATAATAATCTCTCTATATAAAAGGCTAAGTGTCCCTCCAACCATCTGATCTGTAGCTGTGATGCACACTGACCACCAATTGCAGGAGTTGCGATGACGCTCACTGGCCAGCACCACAGCCCTGGTGCTGACTAACCAACACTCAGCTTCCCCCAAGAGGGACACAGGCCCCACCACCACCCTGGAGTGACCCCACCAAATTGCTGCCAATGCTGCTGAGACCCCATGGTGAAAAATGTGGCCCACAGCTCAGCCCAGCCCAGAAATGGTCACTGTGGGTGCTGGGTAATGACGTCACATAGCAACGCCCGGCTTCCTCTTCCTAGTGCCTAGCCTCCTTAGAGTTTCTTCAGCCCAGGAACACGACTTGCTTTATAGCCAGGTGCAAACATTTTACACCTTAACCAAAAATGTCTTTAATTGTTTTCACATGCTTCATCTCATTTATCCTCACAGAAGTCCTGGAGTAGGTAGATAGGAGACTCAGTAGAATCCTATTTTCTTTTAATTAGCCAGAAAATGGAGATTTAGAAAGTTTAGAAACTTGACCCAACTGAAAAGAAGTAAGAAATGGTGGAACTTGAAAATGACTTCCAGTTTTCTCACTGCACAGAATATAGTCAAACACTGCTACAGTTAAATATTTCACCCTTTGTTCTCCCTGCATGATCTACAATAATAATTTGCTTCATGTTGATATTTACTGCTGCGTTGCTGACAATTACCAAAATGAGAAGTTGGGGTGCTTCACTGGGCTGGAAAAAGTTTAACTAAATCAGAAAGCAGGTCTAATTAAGCAAGTTTATCTATATATATATATAGCTCTCGCTGGCGCCAATTGCAAGTGTGTGTTTCCATCTGTCATTGTTGATCATGAATTTGGTTGACACTTCTATTATAGAGAAAGGGTGAGTAGTGATATTAAAGTATTTCTTCTAATTAATTTCCTCTCAATGTGCACAAATCCATGCACCAGACCTCTAGTATTATAATAATAAGATGACATAGCTTCAGCATGTGATTAGGAAAGTAAGATTTTAATGGAACCAATTGCAGAATGTTTGAGATCATATAGTTTCTAAAAACCATTCCTAGTATATTATTTAGATCCAGTGCAATTACTGCCTCTGCCTTCCTCTGAAGTACCAAATTTTATTTTTGCCCCCTATAATTCTTTATTATTCATAATATTTGAGGAATAAATTGATAAATGAATAATCTAGTTTTTCTCAAGTCTCAGTAGCTTAATACTATCATGATTTATTACTCCTTTATGTCACATTACAATGTGGAGCAGGTAGAGAGTGGGGGTGAGTCTTTTTTCCATTTAGTTCCACTCAGTCATTCCAGGACCCAAGGGTGGCTCTGGCATTTTCTAGTGTCCTGGAGTCCACCATTGGATACTCTGCAATAGGGTTGGGAGGGAAGAAAACTTGTTGAAGGTTCTGAAAGACATCTTATTTCATTGTTCAGAAGTCACATGGCCCAAGCTAGTTGCAGGTGAGGTTTTGGAATGTTTTCGTGTTTGGAAGGAAAAATAATGTATTGCCGAACACAGCATTATCTCTGTCTTACCAGTTATCCAAACACTTCCACCAACAAACTAAGGCAATCAGCTAAAGATTAGCTGAGGAATTCCAACCTACAAAATTTATTTGCACATAATTTTGTAGGGGTATATATCTTATATTACAAAGACTCTGTCAACAGGGATTGGAGTCTAGGAAGGCTTTACACCACCTTTTCGCATGTTTATGTTCTATAAGAATTCTCTGGGTTACTTTTTGTGGAGCATTTTCCCTATTTCATTTCTACTTAAAGCTCGTATATGTGAAAGAGATTATATTGTCAAATGAGCATTTTTCTTGCTTTTTTCATCTTGTGTCATTATCTTAACATTCTTTTATTGTAGTTGTTATTGAGAACATACTTTCAGATTTAGCATGGAGATTAACTGTAAAATAAGTAAATAATGAATTCTTTTGTTAGAATGAAGTCTAAAAGTCAATGCTTTTAAGAGTTTTTTTTTTCTTATTGTTAACTGCTATTTCTAAATGACTACAATACTAAAAAAGACAGCAGATTGATAACTTTAGATTTAAGAAATTTTTCTATAAAAAACTGCTGTGATGGTACATTTTATACACAGTGCATACTTTGCTATAATACTCCAAAACATGACTTTTTCTGAAGTTCCACTTTACTGATGAGAGAGTTGCTTATATTAAAATCCATTTAGTACATGAATTCCCAGCCACTCTCTAAAAGACAGATTTTTAATGTTTTCATGATCATGTTTATTCATCATGTTTAAGGAAAGAGATTCAAACGTCCTGCATATTTTACACTTTACCAACAAATTGCAAATGATAGCAACTAATACTCAATACTCACATTAATACCAATAATCTGTTGGAGACTGGCTGTGTGTAAAAACACTGAGTGTTTTTAATTCCATGCATAGGGCTGCTGTGGAGGTGGGAGAAGCTCCCGCCACCACTGCTATGCTGACCAGCCATGAGCCGGCTTCTTGGCTGAGCGACACTCCAGTGTTGAACATCTGTCCCCTGGTGGTCAGTGTGCGTCATAGCGACCAGCCGTTCCACTGTTTGGTTGATTTGCATATTAGCCTTTTATTACATAGGATATACACTGAGTGGCCAGATTATTATGACCACCCCATCAGTACTTCCTTGGTCCACCTTTTGCCTTCAATACTGCAGCAATTCTTCTTGGCATTGACTCCATGAGATGTTGAAAGGTGATGTGAGGAATCTGACACCATGCCTGATGAATAGCACTGTCCAGTTCTGTGAGATTTGATGGTTGTGGAACCAGCTGCCTGATGGCTCTTTTTACTTTGCCCCACAAATGCTCAATTGGATTGAGACCTGGTGATTGTGGGGGCCACCTAAGCAAGGTAAAGTCTCCCTCATGTTCTTGAAACCACTCCTGCACAATACGAGTACCGTGGCATGGCGCATTGTCTTGTTGGAAGAAGCCATCTCCATTGGGATATGCCATCAACATGATAGGATGAAGCTGATCAGCAACGATACTTAGGTATGTTGTGCTATTCAGACGTTGTTCCACACGAATTAAAGGGCCCAAATCATACCAGGAAAACATGCCCCAAACCATAGCACTGCCCCCACCAGCTTGAAGGGTTGTACTCATGCATGTGGGGTGCATGCTTTCCTGCTGTTTCCACC